ACATTTTATGCATAGTATGGATTCAGTAAACCCTTTGTTCTGGTTGAAAATATTTTCTTGTTTTTCTTTCGTTATTTTAAATAAAGGTAAATTAATACAATTGAAAACTTTCCACTAAAAATATTTATTAATCATTACTTGGGTGCATAATAACAATACCCCCACTTTGGCTTTATTTTTATTTAAAAGTATTGAGACGGTATTTTGTTGAAACCTCAAGCAAACCAAATCATAGCAGTGCCTTTCATCCCTGACTCTTACACTTCACCCACCACAGAAATTAGAATTTGGAAAAATAAAAAGTCTAATACCAATGAGATGAAACCAGAACAATGCAAAGGAAGATAATTACATTGCTCAGCTGTCACAAGGGCAGCATAAAAAAATGAAGTGACTCATCTCCCTTCACAGGCACAGCCTGCTCAAACATACATATATAATTATTTATTTGTATGGGTTTGATTCTTTAGCCAAATGTCCCTACTTTATAATGTGGTTTACCCACTTGGGGATTTTTGCTCAAAGAGTTCATTTATAGTTTTATCATCGAACCACAAAAAACTGTTCTGGGCTCCAATGTAATGAAGTCTCATGCAAGTGTTCTATATCATTAAATCTTACTCTGTGTGAGTACATGAGTTCAAAGACAGCTCTCCTGAAAAGATAAGATACATTATGCAGTGATCAAGGGCTGATTTCTAGTGAAGTCATATTCCTTACCAAACAAGTGTATCAGGCAAGAGTATGCTTGAGACCTCAACATTAAAATATTTTCTTATAGCACTGTAATTTTCACTTTGGAGGTAAGCGAACAATTGATTTAGACTATTTCTTAAAGGAAAGGGACTCATATTTTTAATTCATAAGTGTATTTTTGAGAGTTTGACCTATGATGTTATAAGCAAAATCTATAAAAATTGCAATATGCAATGTTGTACAGGAAGAACACTGGTATGGAATTACTGAATAATAAGTGCCATCAATTTAAAAAAAAATTGACAAAATTTGATACTCCCACCCAATGAAGAGTCTGAAATAAGAAACAAAGATTTTCAGGGTTGGAGATACACTTTCGTAAAGAAATTTTTATGTAATACTCAAGCTGGACAAAGTGTAACAGTTTTGCCTTGTAGAACTCAATGTAAATTTTAAGGCTGAGCAAATAGTACTCATGCTAATTTAGTGTTGTTTTTTGTTGTTTTTTTTTTAACTGGAAGTTATTCCTGGTATTTGGAAAGTGTGTCAGTGGTTCATGTTTGCTGAAGTGACTTGGATGAATTTGAATTTTTAAATTTTCAGCCAGTGGGTTATTTACAAATTGTTTGCTTTGACTGTTTGCCCTGTTCTATTGGTTCATTCTATTGAATCTAATTAATCAGCATAAATTCCAATATGTGCAATGCCTACCAGAGTAAATGAGAGGAACCCTTTTGTTTCTCTAACTGGCATCAGGAGGTACTTTGGCAAATCAAACTGCACTGGCACGCTCCTGCATCTTTGTCAAAATAAAAATGAGGAAAAAAAGATAAATCTAATAAAACCAGATATTTTTTGTGATATTAGTACGAAGCCCAGAAAGCTGCTGTTAAAATAGCAAATTTCCTCAGCTCTGTGAAAGTCAAACCATTGCAGATAGCAAGATTACAGAGTGAAAATGACTGTTAACAAAAAACTTGCTGACTGCTGTCATTTTTTGTCAATCTCAGCAAATATCTACTCACAAACAAGCACCATATAGTGACCCACTTCCTAGAACTGATTTTCCCTTCTTTTATGTTTTGCAAATCTTTTGAAAAATTAGTTCAAAGGGAATAAAAAGGGTGACACTGGTTGAACTTTCTGTATTCTAACTTGGCTGAGGAAATGGTTGTTTGGTAGGAGTTTCCTCCTCAGTTAAGGAGGGAAAACAAGCCCTGTCAGAAATGAGTTCAGCCAGTGCAATAGTAGGTCTGTGTGATAGGTCCTTTGAGGCTACCAGTTTGTTTCTGCAGACCAGAGATGCAAGATGAGCTTACTTAGATGTAAATCCCCAATATGGAGATGAGATGGTGCCAATGCCAAAAGAGATTGGGAAACTGTCATGGGTTCAGTACAGACACACTGATGCAGTCAGGGCAGCTGTGGGAAGAGTCTGGGGAGCTGGAGCTGACTCAGCTGGGAGCAGAAGAGTCCTTTGCGTGGGCGTATGAGGAAGCCTTGAGAAGATGGAATCAGATTCTTCACAGTGAGGTAACATCCACAGGTTGAAACAAGAGCAGCTGAGATGGAATATAGGGGAAAACATTTCACAGTCAAGCAGTCCCTTTCAGTCGGAATCGCGATCCGGTTTTACTGGAAGGTGTTACTATCCAGGCTAAAGGTACTGTTAAGTGCATTACTGGATCTCCACTGCTGTCTTCTATCTTATGAAATCATTAGAAAAGTCACAATGCTGCTGTAAAAACATTCACACAGGCCACCAAGGGAAGATACTCTATAGCAATCTATCTGGTTTGAGATCTGTTTGTTGCAAGCTCATTCCACACAATTACAAAGGTGTGACATTACAACATTCCATTGCTTTTTTTTTCTATATTTGGTGTGTTTAAGTTAACATTTGAACAATATTCACCATATTTCACTGTGACTTTATAGCTCTCTAGCAAAAATGCTGAGCCTGATGACTTTTTAGTCTTTACATCTGTAGTATCATTATTCTCTCTCAGGCCAGCTGACATAGCTATTTGTTCACAGGTATCTTGACATGTCTTTTTCTTTTCTGCTTTTCTGTTTCTCAGAGTTCCCCTATTAATCTCTGTTCAGTATTGCTAAGATAATGAGTTTAGCACCAATCCTGAAACAGGTCACAAAAGCAAAGGTCTTGTGGCTTCCATGAATCATATCCCCCTTAAAAAAAAAAAAAAAAAAGAAAGAAAAAAAACTACACCCAGAATTCTTTGATCCTCACAATACAGAATTTAACCCATCATTGCTAAAAAAAAAATAAAGTCAATAGGTTAAAAATGTATCCAGAGACCTAAGCCTGTTGATTTTTCCAGCTGGTTAAATATGCCATCTTACTTTTATGGTTTTCCCTGAGTTTTCATGTGAGAAACCACTATGTGCAGTTTAGCATACAAAGATACTAAAATCAGAAGTTACAAATCCCAGTCTTCAAAAGAAGGAACAGAAAATGCCCTCTCAAAATGAAAATCAAAATGACTGTTTAGCTGTGAGTAGTCCATTGCCACTTTTGGAAAGATGAGATTCTGAGGAGAGGTCCAGTCCACTCCAAAAGGATCAGTTTCACATAGTTACTGACTGACACATATTGCTGATACAACCTAGGGAAAAAATATTATTAAAAAGACTCAAAAAAACCCTAAAGGTTTCATTCTACATTTCAGACAAAATACATTTCAAGTCTTGCTCCATGAGTGGTGGGGTGGTAGGGGACACAGCAGGAAGACCTTCTTGCATCATTTTTTCAAAGGCCTGTGATGCCTGGGTTCTAGTACAAAATAGCAGATGATGGATCACCTGGGGAGGTGACACAAGACCTGTCTATTGTGCAGGGCAATTAGACTTTGCTGATTTTCTGTTGCCCCTCTTTCTGTTGCTTCCTTGTCTACTTTTGTAGGAATACATTCAGGAAAGAGGTGGAGTCTGGCCACATGTTTGTTCAGACCCTCAAAGGATCTCTAAAATGTTTGAAAGTCATATTCTGGCTATTTCAAAAAACTAACTTAAGTCAGAAGGATGACCTGAGTTCTCCATGGCTTTGTGGATTTTACCAATATCAGTTCTTGATTTGATCGTCTTAATTTCTAATCAATGCAAAAATGTTCCCATTATAAATGATCTGTGCTCATTTCACACTATAGAAACAAAACATTTATGAAGAAAGGCTCCAAAATAGTTAAAATATTTTTTGCTTAATGGCTCAGAAGCTGCATTTTGCATAGTCAGTTCTCCACTCAGTTCCTCCCTGGGAAGTGTTGTGTTCACAGCATCATTTGCATGCTTTATGTGTAGCAAGGCTCTTCAGAAAGCTGCCTGTGTTAAATCTGCAGGGATTTGTTTTGCTTTGTGAGGAAGGCACAACAAAAGACATTTGGAGTAGAAGGTGGAGATTACTGACTCTATATGCAATACTGAAAGCAAGTAGACTCAAACCATGCTTTCCCTTACCTTTTGGATCCTCAGCGTGTGTCCCAGTACTACCTGGTTTTTTTACCTATTTCATTCTTTTATTTCTCATTGCTGCTATTGCTGGGAGGTATCTGGGGTTATCTGCTATCTGCAGTTTCAGGAAAAACTCCTTCAATAAAGCAGCCAATGAAGGGTGACCTTAAGCCTAAAGGAATGTGTCTGGTGGAGTGCTTGCTCCTGCATTCATATTTTGGAGGACATATTATTGATGCTATTGCTACCTTTAGGCACAACATCTGCTGCTTTTTTGCTAATTTGGGGGATTATCATCTGAAGACATCCTTTGGGTTACATGATCCTTAACATGTGTAACGAAGGCCAGAAATCTTCCTCTGCTATACCTCTTCTCTTTGATGCAATAGAGGTTTTTCCATAGAGTACCAGTTCTGCAAAGTTAGCAGAGAAAAGTCTCTGGATGTCTGCTGGTCTCTGCTATCCTCCAAAGATCTGTCTGAGGGCAGCATGGCTGGATGTGCCGTCAGACACTCTGGTTCCAGTCCCAGAGCTCTCCTTTGAGCTTTGAGGTGGTGTACAGGGCATCTCTGAAGCCCTGTGTGGGCAGAGCGAGGGTAGATGGATGTCACAAGTAATTGATGCTGGGGCTTTCTCTGAAAATTGATCCATAGCTGAGAGGGTCTAAGCCCTCACTTATGAAAGAAATAACAATATTCCATCTCACAAAAAAAAAACAAAAACAAAAACAAAAACAAAACAAAAAACACAAAACAAAAACAACAAAGGGAACAAAATCTACTTTGAGCTGAGATAATGGATTGCATTTCTCTCACATCTGTGTTGCTCTTTTCCAGGGAAGGGCCAAGTCCATGGTTATGAATCTTGATCCTGAGAGGAACGAGGAATGCCTTTTGAACGTACTGATGTGCATGGTGAGGAAGAGTGATAGAGAACACTGAGAGATAGGCTTTAAATTATTATAATTATAAATTATAGCTCTAAGCTAAAAGTGGAACTCAGATTTTAATTTAAGACTTAAAATAAGGGCTTTTTTAATGCTTTCTATTTTACTGAAAGAGAATGTGTTTGGTAGCACTGGGAATTCATTAGAAGTTAGGGTTTGCAAGAAGAATTGCAAGAGAAAATAGAAGTTTTTAAAAAGAAAGTTGACAGAAGTAATTGCCATTTTTGATGCACATTTCTAAAGCCAACCTGTAGCTAAGAAATAAAAAGCCATTTGAATCAGACGACAAAAAATTTCTTTTTGATTAGACTTTACTCTGCTGTCCTTGTGCCACCTATGATTTTTTATTGTACTCCTAAAACCTCTTCAGTTACTTTTCTGTAATGATGAATTTGAGGGCATGGTATTATTGCCTTTACATCTGTCTTGTTCTTTAAATCTTTTATAATGACCTGTTCCAAAGTCCAATTTAATGTCTATAGGGTTTTTGAAAAAAAAAAAAAAAAAAGATAAACAAATACAGGAAAAGAAAAAAAAACACATCATAATTTAAATAAAGTGCAGAATTACTATATGGGGTAAAATGAGTACACAATTCAATCAGGAAGCTTGAGGTAAGAAGGATCACAGAGAATGAAAAAGGAATGGCATAGTGTGTGATGGCCATGTTTATTACATATAGGTTTTCCTAGCATAACCAACAGTTACTTTTTAGACAGCCAAGTGCTTGACATTACAAAATGAACTATTCAGCACTTGGAATTTGTCAGGAAAACTGAATTTTAGTATATGAGGTGTCTTCCACAGTCTGGGGATTTTTTTGTCTTCATATGGTTTAGCTGGTTTTGTAAAACTTGTTCTCTTTGTCTACTGCTTAAAAATCCATCCATGCTTGAACGTGCTATAAACCAGGTGAAATTGTTTACTTGAGCCCTGCCAGACATTAAAGAACCAGGGTGAGGAGGGAGGCCATGGGAGTGGGTGATGGTGGGACGGGGTGAAATGAGTGTTTACACATTTTTCTTATTCGGTATTACGCACATGGGAAGAAAGCCATCCAAGTCGGATGCCAATGGCACAGAGGTGTGATCTAAATAAGTGGGGCAAGAAGATGAGATAGAGAAATTGAGACTAGACATTGTTGCTGCAGAAAAAATAAAAAAGGCTACGTTTGAATGCTGGCACTTGCTGAGAAGGGAAAGACAGACAGGTAATTGGGAAGGAAACACGAGTGATACTGAGAATCAGTGATGAGGAGAAACAGACACCATACAGATCAACCCTTGATGGGAAACAAACGTAAACATATGCTTGAAATTGGTGAAGTAATGCTTGATCCCATGGAATTATGGTGTGCCATTATATTTCCTTAACCCTTTTGACTTTAAATTGTATAGCTAATGGTCTTTTAAAGGCAGTTAAGTAAGAGTAGCCTCTCCACACACAGCGCTTTAAAAGAGCAGTGTTTTGTGGGGTTTTACCCATTTGTGAGTTGTGTCCTATCTGTCCACTTTCATCATCTATCTGAACTGTAATACTTGGAGTGATATTCTCTACCATATTACACAGCTGAGAGTGAAGAAAATACTCCTGTGTTGGCAGTGGAATTAGTGCTACAGAAAAGTGCTTAAACAAAACCATTTCTGAAGAAAAATTATATTCCCTCCAATATTTTAATATAATAAAAGAACACTATAAAATCACTAAACTATTAGAAGTACATTTTGAAAAGAAACCTAAATTATTTAAAAAGAATGAGGGAAGAAATACCATAGCAGCCTTTTAATAATCTCAAATAGAATACAATGACTAACAGATAAAAATGTCATGAACTTTTCTGGCTAGAGAAATACATAAGAAGCTCAGAAACAGTTAATGTCATTTGTTTAGATCATCCATGTTAAAAAAGACCTCATTTGTTTCACTATTAAGAATTTTTTAACTGGCTCAAATATGCCATTTGTTTTGATTTTGTTTCACATGCTAAGCTTCCAAAGAGTGTCTCAAAGTTCCATTCTTTCAGAGAGGATAAAAAGTCTTTAGATATTACTTCTCAGTTTTTTTCAATGGCAGTATTTGAAAAATCTGGGTACAATGGGACAGGAAAGTTAAAAATCCAAGACCTCACTATACTTCTTTCACCCAAATTCTGTCATCTTGTCATACCTGAGAAGGGATTCCTGAATTCACAGAATCAAAAAAGGTAATTTTAAGAATTTCAGGCTTATTGTTGTACTTTCAGACAGTATCTTCTGAAAAATACTTTTAATTCATTTGGATGGTGCATTATCCTTTAAATAAAGAGCTGAATAACTAATCCATTTCTGTACAAAAAAACCTTGATGTCCCCATAGCTTTCCCTACAATGCTCAATCACTTTAATCTTTTGCCACTCTTTCCTTGTATTTATTTCAGAATTTAATTCAGATATTGCTGCAGGCAACAGAGTTCACCAATAAAACCCTTCTTTGAAGAAGCACATTTTCCTGTGCTGGATACTCACAGCACTGGATATCCTCTGTGGTCTCCAGGTGGAACCATTATTGAACATCTTCCACTGAACTTCCAAAGTTCTTCAGTGGAACTTTGGGCCTTTTCTAATCCAAACCTTGAAGAGCTTCTTACAAAACCACTGGTGACCAAGTGATTAGCAAACACAGGGCTAGCAAACTCTGCCTGGTTTATGGCAGCTGCCTTACTAGTGTTTACTTTCCCTGGTGACATCACTGATAAAGAATTTCCACTTGTTTGAAATCAGGTGTGAGACCTCTTTCCTAAAAGTAATCCACATTCTCCATTTAGGTCTCCTGTGTAGCTCTCTGGTGGTAGTGGCAGGCAGGAATCATCTGCAGGCCCCACTTCCAGCTCTGCTGGGGGATTCCTGATGCCTTGCAGTTGAACTCTTTACGTTGTTTAATGCTCACATTTTTATCTGAACAATGGAAAGAGTAACTTATCTTTCTCCTTGTGTCTTATACTGAGGGCTCGTTGTAGAAGGGAACACTTGTAAAAGATGTCTGAGATCACCTCTAAAACCTCACAGATTTTATCTCTGGTCTCTATTGTGGCTTTAGCTATTTAGAGATGGAAATACCATCTTCACCTTTTTTTGAACCAAAATGTAATGTGCTGAGCTCAGAAGTACTAGATATCATTATTACTAAGAAAATACTTGCAGATATCCAATGGTTCAGTCACTGTGAGGTGAAAGTACCATGAGGCATTGTACAGCATATCCCATCCTTCTCTTTGAAGAAATCGGTATGTCTGTACTTCCTTGACCCAGTGACATTTTTTTTGTTTTTTCTTACTAAGCCTGGAGCATACATCCAGAGACAAAAGATCATATTATTCACAGCAGCCTTAGTGTTAGTGTGAGGAGAAAATCTGTATAATTCCAGCTACCAACACAAACACAATAAAATAAGAGAAAAGTAATGTTGCGTATTAATCTTATTAAACTGCAAACTGCTTTCTCAGCAATCAGAGCTGTACACTGATGCAAATCAGATGCTTACGTAATGCTTTATACAAGGTTGGTGACAAGAGCTGCAGTGATAAAAATACTCTTGCTGTGTTCAGACTGTTTTGTCTTTTCACTTCAAAAAACCCCACTGGCAAATTAACTGCTTGAAATGGATAATTCTAAAGTGGCCTGAGAGTCAAACACATCTCTCTACTATGCTGACTTTTCACCTAATTCTTTTTTGTTGTGTTTTTTGGGGTTTTTTTGTTTGCTTATTTTTTTCCAAGGTGCTTTGTGGCGCACTCCAAGACAAAGATCTCCTTTTCCATGCCACATCCTGGGACAGCTCTCTCATACTGGATGCACATGCACACGCTGTGCAGAGTGGCACATGGCTAAGATTAGGATGTGGTCTTTAGCTAGCATGCTGATGAAAATGCAGCTCCTAATCTAAGACATGTGCTCCTGCATCACTTTGCACCCTGACTTAATTCAAATTATAGCATTTATGTCTGGCCGTGTAGTAGGTTTTTGTTGGGTTTTTTTTTTTCAAAGAGAACCACATCAGGAATCAGATTTGAATCTAATCTTGATTCCTTTAGTTAGTTAGTATCAAAATAAGCATATGTATACTAAACACATCTAGTGCTGGTTTAAATCTCTAAAGAGCTTTTTTCTCCTCCTATTCATTTTTCTTCTCCCTTATCCCTTTGCAAAGGTCTAGTCTCTGGCAGATGTGCCAAAGAGCGCATCAAATATTAAAGACTGTGTTGAAAATCAATTTATTTAGAACTAATAAATGTGACATCCTAATAGAAAATAGAAATCTAATAGAAATAATTCTTCTATTAGAAGAATTTTGTGTTCAACTAAATTGTAAAAATGTATTGTGAACATTTTACATTTCAGATATTCAGTGGTCTTGATGACAGAGATGGTAGAACTAATGTAACCAAATGATTAGAGACATAAAGATATATCATAGTAACACTTTTTTCATTGCTAGATGACGTGCACAGGCATCAAAGCTGGCTCAATCAGCCTTCATCATTCTGAACTGATTATTTTTCCCATGTTTCTTCTCTTAATCTTACCATAGCATAAGGCAAGCAACATTTAATACAGAATTCAGTCAAAGCTAGTAGAAGGTTGAAATTAAAGCTTATTTGAAGATTTGTGGTAATAGCAGAAACAAAACCAAATATATTGACTTTGGGGAAAAAACACCAAGAATATTTTTATAGTAAAAAAGATGTCAATAAGAATAGTAATCTAAGTAATTTTAAGTATCTGTAGCATACTCGTTTTCAATACAATATTTTTAGAGCAATGTGAAATTGCTGTGTAAATAGTATAGTTAAGGCCAAGTTTTGAGCAGGGCAGAACATGAGATAGTAAAGAAGAAATCGTGTTGGTAATTTGGATGATCTTTTCTTTCCTCCATATTTCTCTTGGAGTCACCAAAAACAAGAGTGCAGAGTTCTTTGGACACCAAGAGTGAT